GCAATACATTATAAGCTGAAACCTCTTCTTGATTCATTCCAAGGACCTTTCAAGGATCAATATCGTTTCTTTGCTGGTCTTTACTTCTTTTATCGATTATTATTACTTAGTTTATTTGTAATGGCCTCTACTGAATTTCAAAATTACTTGTTTTCAGGAATAGCCCTGATTCTCATCATAATGTTGCAAGCTACTGTCCAACCCTTTCAAGAGAATAAGCACAATACTTGTGCCATCCTTACATTTGTAAACATGGGACTAATCACTATATTTACTGTATGCATTTTCTTCCTGGAGTCTATCAATGGTTATGAAAAGGAGGTTACAATTGCACAATGTATACAAATCATACTCATATATATTCCACTTATTGCTGTAGCTTTCTGGTTGTTGAGGATATATTACTACAAATTAAAAGTCAAAAAAAGATCTCTGGATTATAGCTATGATGAAGAATTGTTATTTAACAGAAGTGGTGAATTGTATAACAAAATTTGAAATACTAATTCAGCTTTGTTAATTGTTCTGGCTAAACTAATAATAATTATTGGTGTGTAAACTGTTACAATTGTATATTCCCTTTAGGCTTGAATTTTTTTCTGTGCTAGTAATAAAATTCTTTTTGAAGAACAATAGAGTACATTTTACAAGTTAGCTAAGATTTATTATGACTATTGGTTTGTGAATGATTTTCAATTTTTAATAATCATTTCAATAATAATTGTACACAAAAATTAAAAATTAAAATCACATTATTGCTTTGATTCACAGCATACTTTGTCAATTTTCATGTTACACAGTTATGTCCACAACCAGATGGACACCAGCTGTTAGTACTGAACCATTCCTTCAAATGAGACATGTGGCCACCATGACCACACACCTCACACATTGAGTATAATCCTTTAACAGGAGCATGACTAAGAGGGAGGGAGAGGAAGAAAAGAGAAAAAACAAATAAAAACCAAGAGCTTTTAGCACCAATAAAAAATAAAACTTCAAAAAAAAGTTTCAGTATCTTCTCTTACTTCAGTAATTTGGAAATTCATAAAGCATCTAATTTTGATTACAATCAGTTTAAATTTATGTGCAACAAAAGAACATGTACAATGTATAATAATTATGCATTAGAAAATGTTATAAAAATGGACAACTCTCTCCTTGCCGTTTCTGATAAAATTTGGTCGATGACCATTCACCTGACTTTTGAGAAATTAAAAAAATTCATAAAAAATTTAAACTTGATTGAACTTAGCTCAAACTTTCTACGCAACATAAGTACATGTATATTCAGCAGAAAATGTAATAAAAATATATAATTTTCTCCTTGCCATTTTTGATAAAATTTGGCCAATGATCATGTACTTATAGTACAGGAACTTTGGCCCAATTTTTGAGAAACTTTAAAAATTTGTAAAAAATCCAAATTTGATCGGACTTAGCTCAAACTTTCTATGCAACATAAGTACATGTATATGCATTAAGAAAAAATATAAAAATGAAGAATTTTTTTCTTGCCGTTTTTGATGAAATTTGGCCAATGACCATGTACTATAGTACAGGGACTTTGACCCGGTTTTTGAAAAACTTTAAAAATTTGTAAAAAATCTAAACTTGATCGGACTTAGCTCAAACTTTCTACGCAACATAAATACATGTATATGCATTAGAAAAAAATATAAAAATGAAGAATTCTTTTCTTGCCATTTTTGATGAAATTTGACTCGGTTTTTGAGAAACTTTAAAAATTTGTAAAAAATCCAAACTTGATCGGACTTAGCTCAAACTTTCTACGCAACTTAAGTACATGTGTATTCAGCAGAAAATATAAAAAAATGGAGAATCCTCTCCTCACCATTTTTGATAAAATTTGGCCAATGACCATGTACTATAGTACAGGGACTTTGACCCAATTTTTGAGAAACTTCAAAAAATTCGTAAAAAATCTAAACTCAATTCAACTTAGCTCAAACTTTCTACGTAACATAAGAACATGTATATGCATTAGGAAAAAAATATAAAAATAAAGAATTCTTTTCTTGCCCTTTTTGATCAAATTTGGCCAACAGCCATGTACTATAGTACAGGAACTTTGGCCCAATTTCTGAGAAACTTTTAAAATTCGTTAAAATCCAAATTAGTCAACATTAGAACATGTATATGCATCAGATAATTTTTTTCTAGTATTATACAATATTCAATGAAATACTACTCCTCAAAATCTTGAAAGAAATTCTAATTTCTATTACAATTACTACTATTACTATACTGCCACATTTCTGATACACAGTATGATTGTCCTTCACTTACCACACAGAGCAGATATTAAGTCTACTCTCACATTTCTGACACATTATATTAGCATGCAGGTGGGATGGGCTTATTACGTCGACCACACCCAATATTATACAGTGTTGAACTCTATAGTATGACAAAATAAGCTTTAATTAATACAGTAATATAGCAATCATCATTGCTACCTGACTAATTTCTTTTATTTGCTTAAGAGGACAGTTTTTGGTAATATAAACAGCTTCATTTAATAATTGATACTGTGTCGATATATCTAATAAAGACATTAAAATGTTATACATTATAACAGAGAAAATGACTGACAGTCATGCAGACAACCAGGCTACTAATGTCCTTTCCTACACTAATAATTGTGCTTTGCTCTACATAAAATATTAATGTCAATAATGGGTTCGCTGTATATCATTTAAAGGGCACAGACATCATGTGCATATACACACACAACTATTATTATGTACATTATGTATACACAACATCATTAATTTTAAAATTAAAATTTTTTAAATATAAACACTCATATATTGTAACTGAAAAATTTGTGATCAGCACAACGAGTATGACATTTGATAATAATTTGCACAATACAATTGGTAGTAAAATTATAGTCAGGTGGGTAAGGCCCGCCTGACTAGTAAAATTACACATAATAAATAGCACATTTAAAGTAATAAATTCTGTAAAAATAATAAAAGATAAAACGCAACAGTTTAAAATCATACACTGACTTAAATACAAATAGTCTCACTGACCAATATATGAATGAAACCATTGGAGTAATGTTACTTCAGGTATCAGTTTACTGACCCTCTCACCAAACACAAGAATAATAGTAACACTCATCTGAACATCACCCTGTAACAAAAATAATATTAATAATAATAATTATTATTGTTTTTCTACTCAATATTTTGGCTATTATAATTTATCACACCTTCCCAGCATAATGCTTCAATGCTTCAGCTACTTGAGGGGAGTAATGTTTTACATTGTTTTTAGTAAATTATACATGTGCATGTAGAGTACATGTATTATACATGTTTGTCACTATGTACATGTACATGTATGTGCGTACCTGTGACTACTGCCAATATCAAATTCAGGTACTTCAAGCTGACTAGCAATCTCTTGTCTCAATTGAAATGGTTCTATAGGTAATTACTCAATACATAAATATTATCCCAACAATCAGCTACTCACCTCAAGTGTGACTAGCACTTTCACTGGTACTACTGTCTGAATCATTCTCATTATATTCAAAAAATTCTAAAACTAAATTAAAGGGAAGAGGAAAAGGCTAGTAAATGTTAAGTTGCTCTCTTCTCTTTTTCTCTCCACTATTCTCAGTTGTGCCGGTAAAGTTTAATAACTGCTGCCAGTTCAGATTTCAGATTGACAAAAACATCACCAAATTTAACTATTGTAACAAAAACATTGCCTTTAAGTTTATAAACAATTGTAGTTGTTGATAAATGCAAACAGATGTTTTTTTTGTCAATCTGCATTCCTTTTTATTTTTACCACATTAGCAACTACATGTATATAGCAACTCCCAAAGTAAATTTCCATTACTTCAGTGATATCTTTTGATTCATCATCAAGTCCTGATTCACCTTCATTAGAATGTGACATTAAGAGAGAGAGGAAAGGGGAAACATGAGAAACAACCAAAACAAACAGACTTAGAGGCTCCACTTCCTAGCCATAAAGATTAGGTCATTTAATTTTAAAAATAGTTAGACGACTTGCCCGTACAAACAAACTCACTTCATCACTAAGGGTTTTGCCCAACTATAATAGAAATAATTTTAAACAACAAGTAGTCACTATCCTTTTAACTGATCAATCAAATGCAAAAATACCAGTGCTTATGGGTATGGAATTTGATTGGTCAGTTTCAATTATAATTATAACGTCAACATAACCGTATATGCACCATAGATATTAGAGTAGTTAAAATCAACTCTAATATCTATGCATGCACCATGCAAGCATGCATGCACACACTGTACCATATTGAACTGCACCGTAGATATTATAGACTGACTATGTAACTGACATAGTAATGTGTGGTATACATAGCCACACCCACCATACTATAAAATCAAGTTGCAATCAGTAGAAACATTTAGTAGAACAGTGTGTGTGGCAGTAACCAGTTTGTGTAACCTTAGAAGCAAGTTTTATTACAACAGCAGAACATGGCTGAAAGAAATCCATCATTAGGAGTTGAACAGGACCCTCAAGATGATAATAGTAAGACAACTTTATGCATTCAACAAAAACAGCATGTCTATGATTTAACATCTTTACTGCATTGCCTCAATGCAATCATAACTACTTTAAAAAAACCTATAGCATGCAGAGTGGATAAATTGTATAGTGTGATCTAAAATTAAAAAACAAGTAAAACTTTTTTAATGGGTACAGTTATAAAAACAATACGGCAGTTAATTTGTTCAAAAAATTAATCAATTAGCCACACAGGCTTTGATTAATCAATTAATCGATTATTTGTTGCAGCGTTAGAAACCAATGTACAACTGAATGTATAGCTTTATGTGAAAATTCTATAGTTGAACTTAACAGTCTCTTTGTGTACAATTGTGCTTCTAATTTTATGACAGCACAATAAGTGAAAGGTAACTGTTAAAAAAAATAAAATTTGTCAAAAACAAATGACAATCTGTACGATTGGGATGATGCATGGTACAGTTAAGGAACAAATTTTAGTTATTAGAATCAGGCATTTAATAACAGTGGATAAGAATTGTAAAAACTAGAGTTCTTAAAAGTATATTTACAACAATGACAGGAAC